GTGCGGGGCGGTACTGGGCTGTGCTGGGCTGTGCTGGGCTGTGCTGGACTGTGCTGGGCTGTATTGGGCTGTATTGGGCTGTGCTGGGCTGTATTGGGCTGTGCTGGGCTGTGCTGGGCTGTATTGGGCTGTGCTGGGCTGTATTGGGCTGTGCTGGGCTGTGCTGGGCTGTATTGGGCTGTGCTGGGCTGTATTGGGCTGTATTGGGCTGTGCTGGGCTGTGTTGGGCTGTGCTGGGCTGCAGTAGGCTGTACTGGGGAATGGAGAATTCAGCTAGGACATGGTGGGGCTGTACTAGGCTGTGCAGGACCATCCTGTACCAGGCTGTTCTTGGCCATACTGGGACATACAGGACGGTACTGCACAGGCTGTACAGTGCTGTACTTGAGCTGTATAGGATTGCACTGCACCACATGGAGCCATGCAAGTCTACACAGGGCAGTCTTGGGCCACAATTAGCTATACAGGATTGTAACACACCATATGGGACTCTGCAGGGATATACAGGGCTGTACTTGTCCATACGGAGCCATACAGAACTGTGGAGGACTGTATGGGGCTGTACTTGGTTGCCCTGTGCCATTCTGGGGTGTACAGGGCCATGTGGAACTGTAAAGGTCTGTACTGGACTGTGCTTAGCCATATAGGACTGTACAACACCACAAAGGTCTGTGTAGTGTGGTACTGGGCCATACTGAAATGTACTGAGCCACAGAGGGATGTACAGGGGTGTACTGAGCCATAATGGGCTGTGTGGGGCTGTACTGGGCCGTATAGGGCTGTACTGTACCATACTGGGCTGTACTGAGCCATGTACATGGGATTTTACTGGGTCATAATGGGCTGTACAGGGTTGTACTGGGCTGTACATGTCTGGATGGGACTGCACTGCACCATACTGGGTTGTACAGGCCTCAACTGGGCTGCACTGGATAGTACAGGATTGGGACGGGTTGCACTGGGACTCCACCAGCATCACCACCCTGGGACTGGTTTCCAAAACTGTGAGTGGTGGAAGCAACCCTTGGGATGTCCCAGAGGCTTTGGCAGGGTCTGGGGGATGGGTGGCTGGGAGGTAGTGTCCCCACCCAGCCTGTCCACACTCTGCTCCCCAGGGATTTTCCAGTGTCCCTCATTCCACAGGGGCTTCCCCAAATGCATCTCTCTTCCCCACCCAGCAGCCACATCCTTTGTGAATGTGTGGGGATGTCCCACTCCTCCCTGTCACCCCACAGCCCACCATGGGATGGAGAAATAGGGGCTCCAGTCTAGCAGTACTTGAATTTATTAGTAAACTGTTCTTTGGTAAATGATAAAAACTCAAGAGACCAAAGGAATGAAAACAACACCCCCGCAAAGAAAAAGAAATCATGTCATTAAATAAACCAGGCAGATGGAAAAAAAAAAACAGTTTTCCCCCGCAAATGGGATTTTAGCAACCTACAGCAAACCCAAGAGCTGTTGGGGGAGCTCTGCAGTGATGGGGGCTCCCCCTTGTGCTTGTTTTTGGGGAGGAGGAGCATGGGCTGTGTGTATGGGGGTCCTACATGGGGGGCTCATTGCAGAGCACCATCTCCAGTTCCTTGCGGTAGAGTTTGCCCCCGTCGGAGAGGTTCATGATGCTCTTCCTGTAGTTGGTGAGCTGCTGGATGTTCATCTCCTGCAAGGCATGGGGGCCAGTGGGGGTGGGCATCCCCTTTCTTCCCGGGGAGTGCCCAGAAGATTACACTCCCCCCAGCTCCAGTGCAGCTTCCCATGAGGATGCAGGGTCAGCACCCGGACCAGCATCTCCTGGTCCCCATGGAGCATGGACATGGAAAGATGCTGCTGGGAGAGGGGAGAAGGAACTGGGGGGCTCTGGGGGTGGCACCCAAGCTCTGCCCCCACTTACTTTCTTATTCTTCTCATACAGGTCTTTCAAAAGCGCATCCAGCTCATTCTCATCAATGAAGCCATTTCCATCCTGGATAGTGTGGGAGGGTATCAACAGCAGGAAGGACACAAGCCCTGCAATTCCCCCTTGGACATGGGCATCCCCAGACCCTCACCCAGCACAGCCAGAGGTAAACTCAGTTCTCCCACCCCAAACCAGAGCAGGGAATTTCCTCAACCAAAAGCACATGATTTGGGGTTATTTTTTGCCAAGTTACGTTTTTTTGGGTTTCCCATGAGCCAGCTCCCTACCTTGTCGTAGAAGGCAAAGATGGCATTAAATTCATCCGAGGACAGCTTCATTCCCTGGGAAGTGACAAGGGACACCAGGGTATGAGAGCGGGGTTGGAGGTGCAAGCAATGGGAATGGGTTGTTTTTGTTTTATTATTACCACTAGGAGTAGTGTTATGTTACCTGAAACTTCAGAAGAAAGTTTTCTTGCACAGGCAAAAGTCTGAAAAACAAGAAGGGCAGGGAAGAGTGGGAAGACGCCAGAAAAAGACACAGAAAAATCACAGTGATGTTTTGCTCAGAAAAACAAGTAAATTAAAGAGGTTTTCCCTGGAAGCTGGAGCAGACTCTTCCTAAATATATGCATTTCAGGTCTCTTTCCCTCCCCAGCTCTTACTTCTCACTGCCCATGACCTTACCGGGACATCTCAGAGAGGCCCAGCTTCCCATCACCGTTCATGTCGAACATCCGCAGCTGTTGGGATACAGACAGACCCTGTCACCCATCACCTCCTTCTCCCCTGCATGCCACCCATCTGAGTGCTGAGACCCCCAGTGCCCCAGGTCCCACAGTGCCCCAGGTCCCACTTACAATGGTCTGTGTGTACTCCTGCAGCTTGGGCTCGTCGTACGGCCGGTTCGCCTTCTTCAGCAGGTCCGACAAGAAGCCCTGGGAGGAGAGGGTTTTGCTGGCTGTCCCCATCCCCAGCTGTCCCAGCAAGGATGTCCCACTGGCAGGGACCCAGCCCAACCCACCCTATGCCCACAGCCCACCTTGAGCTCGTTGGCTTCGATGTAGCCGCTGCGATCCGTGTCGTACCTGCGCCAAGCCTGTGGAGGCACTGCCATGAGCCTTTGCAGGGGCTCGTGTCCCCCACTCCCCCCTGACAAGTGTGTGTGTCCCCATAAATCCCTGCTGAGAGTGCTCCCCGTCACCCTAAAGGACATGGGGCCATCTTACAACTCCCACTGGTGTCACCTGCTCTCCCTTGTGGCTCGGTGCTTTTGTTCAGCCCCACACCAAGAGTTCAAGCACCTTTATCATCATGTCAGTGTGCAAGACCAGGCTTTAATATTTAATAACATTTAATTGCATCCCCAAATTAGACAATGGTGCCTGCTTACCCCACTTCATGTCATGGGGTGCTCTTCTTTCAGCCTTCCCCTCCACCCAGGATTCAGTTTCCATGTACAAGCTCCTTCCTCTCCAGGATGCTGCACATTCCCTTCCACCACCAGCTATGTTTTATTCCCCATCTGCAATTTCTCTCCCATCTGCATGGGTTCACCCCATGCAAGGGCACAGCGAGGTTGTGGGGTGGCCCAGAGCACATTCCTTGGGCACTTAGGAGCAACCATGAGGAGAAGTTTACAAAAAAGCCCTAAATCCTTGCAGCTCACCTTGCCTAGAGGCTGGGATGAGGCACCTGGCTGCCCTGAGAAGTATCCAAGGGGCGCTGAGAACTGGGAAAACTCGCCACACTCCTGCTCTTCCCTAAACCATCACTGCCTTCCAGTGCTGAGTTAATGCCAAGAGTTTTAGGGAGACCAGTGGAGGTTTGGGAAGTTCAAGCTCCCAGTTGTTTTCTCAAGGTGGATCTGGATTGAATTCCCTGGGGATCTCCCAGCACAGCCTGTCCCACTCACCTCCATGAACTCTGAACTGGAGCCCACATGCTGGCGGAAACACAGCAGAAAATTCTCTTCTGTGGGCAGGATCTGGGCCAGCTGTGGGGAACACAGGCATGGTGGAATGGTGGAGGGGAAACACGAGCAGGGGGTTGGAACACAAACAACCCAGGTCCAGCACTGCTCACCTCTGCCATCTCGATTTTACCATCTGCATTTTTGTCGTATTTGTGCATGAACTCCTTCATCTTGTCACCCAAATTGTCCTTCTTTGAGTCCTGCCAGCAAGGAGAGAGGGGATGGGAGCTCTCAGAGGAGCCCGAGTCCCACTCATCAGTGCCCAAAGGAGATGGGGCTGACATGAGCGTGAGTCTTTGGGCATGAGGGAACGGGGGAAGGAGGGAGCAAAACCAGGAGATGCTCTTACCACACCCGCCCCCTTTCTTGCACTTTCCAGCTCCTGGAAGAAATTTTCCAGTTCTTTGCCTTCAATGTAGCCATTTCCTGTGGGAGGAAAAAAATGCAGTAAGACTTCCACAGTGTCAGAGCACAGGAGGAGAGGGACAGATGCTCCCAGGGGACACAGCACTTGTTCCCTCTGCACCAGGACATGGTTCCAAGGCAGCTGTGACAGCAAAGAAACGCCAGCCAATGTTGATGCTGAGCATTACACATACTGGTACCCAAATTTGCCCAGGCGACACAGCCCTGGACTTGTCCCTTGCACTCATTTGTAGGGCACAGGGGACTTCGTTCATCTTGGTCTTTACTGCATTTTCTGTATCTGATGCTTCAATCAGATGCCTTAAATAAAGGCACTCTATCCCATGCAGGCATCTCCCAGTCAGGACTGTGTCCTCTCACCCCTCTGTGGGGGCCACAAGGGCAAACAGGGAGCAGAGAAAAAGCACCTGGCACAGCATCCCCCCATCCTGGGTGCAGGATCAGCCCCAGGAAGAGATGACCCCACTGCCAATCTCCAGTGTGGCCAGGAACTCCAAAAGATCCCTGCCCTGTGTACCTCACACCTCCCACTGCCAGTATCTGTGCTGAGATGTGGTTCCACTGGAACCCGGGGTATCCACAGCCCTGTCCTGCCTGTGGGATGCTCGATGGCTGGACAGCTCAGCCACACATGGCTCCCACAGTGCTGGCCCTTGGTGGCTTTGGGGGGGTGGCTGCTGTGCCTGGAAGCAGCAGGGTCATATCACAGCTGGGGACAGCAGGGAAGACACTGGCTCCATGATGCTGTCAGACAAGGTGTCACCTCCCTGCTAGAAATCCTCCCTTCTAAGAACACCTGGACACAACAGAGGATGTTGCCCTTTCCCCTGAAGTGCCTGGCTGAGGGATAGCCAGGACTTTTCCTTCTGAACATTTCCCCCAGGACTGCTCCCTGCTCTGTGCCATCTTCGGCGTTATCACCTGCAGGCTCCCTGGCAGCATCTGCTCCCCACTGCAGCACAGCAGCTGGAAATAACCCATCCACATCCCAGCTCAAAGCACTGGGGAAGTCCCAGGGTACCTTCCTCTTTGGTGACCACATCCCAGTGGATAAACAGCATCCTTCCCAGGAGGGGATGAGGGCCTTGGGTGATATTGGGGTGCTGGTGTGAGCCACTGAGGTACTTGGCTTCCCACTGCTCTTCCCAGGGGCTTTGCTTTTGTGGGTACAGGAGAACCCCAAGCAGCTTTGAATTCAGTTGGGGAAACAAGAAAAATCAACATGAGTTTTGAACTAGGAAAAAAGAATAAGATCAAGAAAAGCCGTGGCCAGTAGCTTGGCTTCCTCCAAGCAGCAGCTTGGACAGGTCTGATCCATGTCCATAGAGCAGAGGGATGTGAAGTGTCATGGAAAATCCCCTCCGGAGAGCCACAGCCAGTCCATGCAGCTCCACCTCAGAGCCTCGGGGCAGCTGTAGCTGGTAAAGTGAGGACATCAAAGACATCCAAGGGGACATCTCTGGGGCATGACAAGCCTTGAGGGGGAGCAGCTCAAGGCATGGAAGCCACATTGAAGGGGTTTAAATGCAGAGGTGAGCTTGGGCGAAGTAGTCCCATGCACAGGGGAATGAACCCCAGGCCCCTCCATTGGCTCAGGGAGGCAGCCAGGGCTGTTGGAGCTCCTGCCTGGTGCAGCCAAGCATTGTCCTTGTCAAGGCCACCTTCCTTCCCAATGCCTGAGTCCCTCCTCTCCTGGGCACCTGCCGTGCCGCAGCTCGACAGCCTTGCCCTGCCTGGGGGCTGTGGGCCAAGCTGGATCCGTGCCTGCTGCTGTTTTTTGGAGATGACAGAGCACATCCAAGGGCGCAGTGGGACGCGCTGCAGGGAGGCAGCTGGACACCCACATCAGGAGCTGCCCACTCCCACTGAAGTGCCACCTTCCCAACCCCTTGGTGGCTGCTCCAGTGCCAGCTCCAGCAGTGACAGGGACCTGTGTCTGTGTCCCTGATGCTGTGAGGCTGCAGGGGGGGGGGACCCCAAAAAGCAGCCAGGAGCAAGCTGAGCTCCAGTTCCAGCAGCACAGCTGGGGAGGCTGCCTGACGCAGTTCCCAGGAGGTTTTTGGTCCCCAAACCTCCCTGCAGGAACAGGAGACTCAGTGAAAGACAGGATCTTTCCCCTGGGCTGTTGTTCCCAGCGGGCTGAGCCTCCTTCACGGCATGAGAGCGCTGGAAGAAATTGTTTTCCTACAAAACAGTGCTGGTTTTTGCATTTCCCCCCTTTTTTGGGGCTGACAGTGGTAGGAACAGGGATGTCCTGCCCAGATGTGACTCCGTGAGAAGGTGACATCCCCACAGTGGACACGGTTTTTGCCACAGCATCCCCAGGGAGAGTTTTTGTGAGGCTGGGGAGCAGGCAGGCAGAGACTGCACTCCAGACGTGGAGGGACCGTTCCTCAGCCTGCTCCGGGCGCGGGACACCCTCTCTGTCACCCCCGGTAAAGGGGTCGCTCTGGGGCCAATCTGGTGGCCACGCTGCCCCCCTCCCTCCAGGTACCAAGTGTGGGGCACTGCCGAGGCATGGAGAGGGGACCGAGGGTGGACGCTGGGCACCCAGGGAAGGGCAAGACCCCCAGAGCATCACGCAGAGGTGGGATCAGCCCCGAGCGAATCCCAGCTCTCAAGGCACCCGGAGGACGTGCCAAGGAGACCCGGGATATCCCGGGCTCAGAGTCCCATGGGCTGAGGGCTCCCAGTGGGCTCCAGTTCTGGGGCTCCCGTCGGGGAGGTCCATGGGGACCGATCTCTTCCCCGACCCCGGAGCTTCAATGGACGGGGCTGCACCCCGGAGACTCTCCATCACCCCGGAGACTCTCCATCCTGGAGTCTCTGCATCCCGGGAGCTCTCCATCACCCCGGGGGCTCACCGTTACCCCCGGGCTGCGGAGGCAGAGGCTCTATCTTCTCCTCCGGGATGTCCAGGGACTCTTCACCCCCCCGCCCCCTTCAGCCCCGCGTCCCCAGGGATGCTCAGCCCGCTGCCCTCCCCGCCGGTTTTTTGAGGAGCGAAGTGTCCCGCGCACCCCGGGACTGACCGTCCGCGTCGAAGTGCCGCCAG